TATGAAATACAGCATAGCCTAAGAGGAAAGTCCGAGCTTCCAGCTCTGGTATAGCAGAAGGACATGGGAATCAATAAGATGAAGAATGGACAACAATGCCAAGGCTAAGGTTCCCGAGATGGATAGAGCAGGTGTTTCTCCCTCTCATCTATCATAAAATGTAAGACAGGTGGGATATACTAATGCAAGACAGCAACAATCATGTGTGCTTGAATAGAAATACAAAATCTGATAAAATTGAGAATTGGGAATTTCCACAATAAACCATTATTAATTACTGGTTTAAGTGAAAAAACACTGAAATAATAGCATGGATGGGGTGTGTGTCAGTTTTAGATGTACATAACAGATGTAACTATAACAGAGTCAACTGAAATTGCCTCCATGTTGTTTGTGAAAGAAATTATGTGAAATAAATCATATACAGTTTGAGAGAGTTATTGCACAAGCCTTGACCTATAGGACAAAAATTATCATCTGGGTAAATTTTATGTCAAACACTCTTTGCACAGAATACTTGAGTTGAGTTGAGTTGAGTTGAGTTATAAAATAGTTTTGAGGTTATTTTATATAAAATGTCAAATAAAAAAACTGCACACAACAGAATAAGCCCAATATGTGGCAAAACATAGATAGTATGGAATGCTGATGTGGGTACACTAATTCATTCATTTCACTGTTGATGCAGAACGGATGATGCCCAGTAGATGTCAGCCTTGTTAGTCGGAAGCTATTATTGACTGTGCTGGTGTTCACAATGATAGCAAATGTGGTGCTGGGTTAAGCAGTTTGAATGATTTATGAGTTAATCTTATTTGTAGCAACATCACTATGACTGTATTGTGGCAGTTGAATCCATCATCAGAGACCATATAATCATAACAACATACAGTACAGAGAATAAAGGGCCCAATGTGAAACAACTCGGCAATAATTGTTCATTAATATATATTTTCTGTAAATATCTGAAAAGTGCACATACTCACATTATAGCCTTCATAATAACTTGCACAATATTTGACATTTTTATTTGGCCTAGGTAATCTAGGATGCATGTGAAAACCAAGGTTACTCTTTTTGTAAGTAATGATTTAGATAGACATAAAGCTGATGTTTTTATAAAAATACAGTCAGGACGGGGAGATTGAACTTTGGTACACTGGACTGAAAAAGAACTGGTCTAGTAAAAGAACTGTGGACGAAGAAATATTGATTTGTTATAATTATTATTTTACAGTTCTGAACAGGTCACCGCTGATCAGGCTGTAGTAAAATTTATCTTTAGGTTATTCTGACAATAATCAGCTCTTCTCATACCATTGTACAGAAGAGATGTCTCATGTCGTAGTGTAGCTGCAGCATTGCTGCTAATGTAGGTCACAATGTCCTGCCAGGCAGCCAGGTAGCATTGCCCTATATAGCAGTTAAGTCCTCTTGTTTCTTTCTAAATGATTTTAGTAGATAAATGTGATGAAATAAATTAATTAATAATAATAATAATAATAATAATAATAATAATAATATGACCCCCAGATCCGGTGCAAAAAGAAAGTCAGAAAAAAAGCACAGGCACCATAAACCATTACAACAACACACACACGAAAAGTTCAATGGTTGATGTGCCAGTTAGTTGCTTGGTTCAAAGTTATAGTCATGTCTGCTTGGCTGCTTTAGTATTCCTGCTATATAGGTTAATATCACTTTATGTATGAATAAAGTAAGCATACTGGACTGCATTTTACATGAATTGTTTTGCATGTGGGATTCGCTGAGCAACCTGGGAGCCTAACACATTCCTATAACAGAGATATACAAACTGTGTAAGTGTGGCACGCCATTAGTTTAAATGTTCTATTGTTTCTTTGCTCTTTGACTAATAATCTCTCCCGAATCCCCCCCACCACCTCCCCGCTCTTTCTCTCTAATGAGCTGAGGTCTGTTATCAGTCATTACAGGAAGCTTGATTATCCAACTGGCATTCTGCACACGCACACAGAGAACTTCCTGAAGGTGACCTTTTCACGTCGCCATAGAAACTGCCTCTCTTCGCTCTGAGATGCTCAGCTTGTACACAGAGTGAGAGAGAAAGAGAGAGAGAGAGAGAAAGAGATGACAGAACATTTTCTTCCAAACAAAAGTGCATTAGTATGCTGCAATGTGATAGCTCACACACAGGCCTTTTTACGATGTGGCAGTGCAGATTATTTTGTTAACCAATAATCAGCTCAACTATTATTAAACATAGGGCATTCAAAAGCTTCAATTTCTCATACTTTATTAGATCTAATTTATTTTAAAAAACAGCACTGTAAAGGTCCATTAATTCCTCTGGCTTGAAGGGAGTTCTCACAAATAGTCAGTACTGTGTGAGCTAATTTAAATATATACTTTTTAAATACTCTGGGATGGTACACCTTAAACATGTAAAAAGTAAGTTTGTAAAGGCCTTGGTGAAACATATTTTCAACTGTGTGTATATGTGGTGTGTGTGTGCACTACTTTGTGTGATTGAACACAGGGATGCGTGTTTGCAACGGATGTCAGTCACAGAAAGTGATTGCTGTGAGTGGTATTTTGGGATGTCTAATAATACAGTACTATACTAACCACTTAAGAAACAATAACACACAGGAGCTTTGACAGATGTAACTCTTGTGTCAAACAGTCATACTGTTCTTTTTCTTTAGTTATTTTATTTATATAGTTAATATTTTTATTTCATTTTATTTATTTTTTATTATTTTTAACACACACACACTTTTACTGTTTTACTGATTTTATTTAATTTATTTATTGTATTTATTTTAACGCACACAAACACAAACCTTTGACTGTTTCATTTATTTTATTTAATGAACTGTATTATATTTTAAGTTCTGGCAATATTGTTGTTTGATATTCATGCCAATAAAGGTGAATTCAATTGAATTACACAAAGAGATACAGAGTTGCTTTTAAGATGCATGTCACGCAATCACGTATGTGCTATCAGCCAAGGAATGTATCATTTATTTATTCATCATCATCAAATGGAGGCAAGTACGCCTATGACAACATATATCAGGCAAAAGGTGGGGATACACCCTGGGTGAGTCCCTAGTCCTTCACATATCATCATCTGTATGTTCACAGGCAGTACAATAAATATGTGTGCCACTCCAGTAATAGCAAATAAGGTGTGATGCATTGTCACTGCCAATGCTACCTTATGTTATACAGAATAATACACACTAACAGCAAATTCAATTTCCCATTTTAACCTTACATCTTAAAGCATATGTTTTGCACGTCTTATCATTGAAGACCCATGTCTGCTAATTCTTATACTCATCTCTAATATACACATAACTACATATTCATTTGGCATTTATAGATACATAATTTTATTTTTAATCTTTTAAGTGTCTGATACACATCTTTACAAACCAGCACAATGTAATGATGCAACACAACTAAAGAAACCTCAGCTTATTTTCATGAATTAAACGACAAACATCTGCCCTTGTACAAACAAACTGAAATGCTCATTTAAGGCACAAAGCAACACAGCCTCTCCTTTGAGACATACTTAACAGCCTCTCTTCGCCTTAGCAATGTCCCCAAGATCATCGTCATGGCACCAGCAATGTTAAGACGGACTTTAACACAGCTGTTCGGCCTCCTGAGTCTAAGTTGTGGGTACTGGATCTATCAATCCAATAACAATCCAGGATGTAACAATCCAGCGTTACATATATGTCTACTCTCTAAACAGCCATTGGAAAATAATAGATGTTGATTGATGTTGCCAAGGCACAAGTAGGAGTTATTTTATTGTCATTTTGTCAAAACCTCAGAAAGGGAATAGTAATGTGAGTGGTAATTAATCCCAGCCCTATTTATGTAACTTAAATTAAATTTCAAAGGCGGAAACAAAAGAAGTCAATATTATTCACATTTCCATAAATATATTATCCAACAATTTATAAAACTGATTCACTGCTTATATGACTTCCAATGTAGCATCTTTTGGGTGGTGTAGAGAAGTGAATTCCAAACTTATTTTAGGGTTAGCACAACTTGCATTTCTTCCACAGCGTATTTTTGTAAAGAGGGCTTTTTTCTGTAATTCTGGATTGATACTGGGGCTCACACTTGGTGATTTTAAACTACCCAAATTACACAATGTGTTAAGTCACAGACATTTTACAGGCTCATTCTGCTGACACAATTCCATGGACCTAATGGTTCCAAGGAAACTGGCTTATTCATTTATGTTTTTTACAGTAAGTCACATGGGTGATGCCTGGAAATCAGTCCAGACTTGATCTTGATCGGTTACAAACTCTGAAAAGTTTCTCTCATTTGGATGTGCTGACTTATGGATAAATCGTGACTATGCGTTTGACTGAACAGCAGGCTGCTTCTCAGTCTTCATTGAACAGGGATTTCATATTTGAGTCGTGATGTGGTTTTTCTCTTTAGGTCATATACCTTCTTTAAAAGGAGCACTGAGATGGTGACTAACACCGCTTTCAATGATGTACGTCATTGACAGTGGTAAAAATAGACTGCCCTGGAATGTCACTATAGAAAGTGTGTGTGTGTGTGTGTGTGTGTGTGTGTTTTTGCGTGCGTTCGTGTGTGAGTATGTATGTATGCATTTTTGCATTATTGTGTACCTGCTGTGGCTCATGACTCAGAGTCCTTCCCTCCACCTTATGACCTTGTTCACTGGTCTTCATTTGTGTTTCTGTGACTAGGACATCTCATTGAGACAGGTTTTATCTCCAAATCTATCTATCTGCAAATCTATCTGCAAATCTATCTATCTATCTATCTATCTATCTATCTATCTATCTATCTATCCATTCATCCATCATTCGATCTAGGCATGAATGTTGAGTCTTGAATGAATGGCTTTCGGTTCAACTAGCCCTTCCAATCCTCCTGCCTGGTTATTTATATTCGCCATTGAATCATATTTTGCCTGTGACGCCTGCGCAGTAGACAGGTGAAAATGTGAATCATCGACGGAAAAATAAAGAGAGAGAGAGAGAGAGAGAGAGAGAGAGAGAGAGAGAGAGAGAGAAGCGACTGTAGAGTGATGGGACCAGGCTGAGGGAAGAGCAGCGAGTGATCACTCTCCGAGCCGGTAATGACAGGTAAATGACAATTTGGCTGTATTTCAAATATATTTCTGGGATTATAGACGCTCATTTGGATTGCTGATTTTGTAAATGACAAATCGGTAAATCGTATTCCCTGCATAGACTCGCTCAACGATGTCATCCTTGCACACGGTGTCCTCTTGATCTCACATCTGGAAGTAGCGTTCCTGCAACACATTTGTCGAAAACTATGCTCTTTTGAACTTTGTGTTGTCACCTCTTCACTAATCCGCTGGGTTATATAGTCATTTATAAGCGTTTCGGGCGTTGGTATCCCAATGAAATGGAATGAAAGTTCAGCCCTAAGCTTGTACCTGCCATTTTTAGATATTACATTTTTCAGGCGGTTCAGACGTCAGACGGCATGCTTTAGTCCAAATGTGCCTTACTAACTTTAATTGGAAAGCTCGCTGTGTGTCTATTTGGGGGTTGGGAGAACGGATGGCTGAGGTCTGTGTTCATACTGGCGTCACATATTACGTCGGTGTGTGTTTTCCTGCTGGGCTGAGGGCTGGATGGTAATAATGGCGTTCAGCACCATGGCCAGCTCCTGGTTGAACGGTCGATAGGACATGTTGTAGGCATGGTTGTAACACCGTGTGGCCATTGGCATCTTCATTTTGATAATTGTATGTGGTAGATTTATTTAGTTCGTTTGCTTTGAGAGGTTTACTTGTATTTTAGTAACAGCTTATCTTATGTGTTGTGGATAAGGAACAATGTTAAAATACGAGCAAACAGCAGCTCATCTGGATTTAGAATTTGACCATTTTCAGTTCAGTTCACGAGTTTGGTTTGGTAGTATTGTTTTGATTTACAAACATTTGATACATTACATTGCAGTTATCTTATTCTGACAATGACATGACGTTTTGGCCATTGACTTTTGTTGGACATCTGTTACTGTATGCTTGAATATTGTCCTACTACAGAAGGTCAAGGGCACTGATTAAAGTTCATTCATTCACACACACACACACACACACATATATATACTACTGCTAACTATTCTAATTAACAATAACATTTTTTTAATCAGTGCCCTTGACCTTATGTACATATATGCTAATAATTGGCAATTGGTCATATTTTGCATTTTTCATTATTAGACAAGATGATGAATATTTCAGCCTTTTTGAATATATGCAGATATGGGTGCAGAGGTTGCAGCATCTGGGCAGAGCAAGATGTTCACGAGAGTCCTTAGCAGGTACAAATTAAGCAGTAATTTGATTAGCATGAGGTGCCAGGAAACAGTCTACCTCATCTTAATGCAGCTTTTCACTCATCACATATCACATATTACAGTATCTGACTGAAACCATGATGTTTCCCATATACAGTGTGAATTCATGTTTGGCAAATTATACAAGTGAAACACTTTCCAAATGTAGACTGTAGACTAGAATGACAACATACATTAGCTCGTGACAAAGGTGCTTGTTGATAGACATTTTCACCAATGAAACTGGTCAACCCTAAATCAAGGGTCTTGGCTGAGATTTTTGATGCTCTTTTGTGCTTTTGTCCCTCAAATTCCCTCTGACATGACACTGAACACTTTCATGTAAGATTAGTACTGCACATCTTGCAGCAGTAAACTGCACAAATATTGTTTACTCAAACAACTACTCACCTTTATAAAGTTGTGCAAATAGTACCCTGATTACTTTACAGAAAGTGCTTCCATATACAACCCCACATGTATTACCAACAGTATTTAATAAGTCAACAAGATTTCTGGGCAATCATTCCTTTTTTTTTCTACAGATGTTTGTGACCACTACTACATTATGTAACATTACACCATCTTGTTGATTTACATACCTAGCCTGGTGAACTACAAAGCTAATGTTTTGTTTCAGGATTTAATCTGGTGAGTCACATCAGTTTCAAATATTGCATCTTTGTTTAGGAAAGTTGCTTCGTCCATTTTCACACTTGTCATAAGAGCACAGATTGCAGCTTTGGAAACACAAAAATATGTAAGGGATAATGCCCAACAATGGACTCTACAGAGGCAATCGTCCGACACGCCTGTCATCCATTTATTTCTGATAATGGACACCCCAAAGGATATTATCCTGCTTATATCAAGGTCACTTGCCCAAGAAAAAAAATTAAGACCATAAATGTATATTTTCATGCATTTTGTAATCAAAATCCAAAGTTTTTCACAAGCCATAACTTTGCTTCCCTGGTAACACCTGAGGGATTGACTAATAACTGAAAACAATCATTACCAACATTATGCTAGCAAGATTCAAGGTCAATATCATGGATTAATGGACGTCCTGCAGTCAATCAGAATCAAGTATTCACCCGGACCATTGTATAATGTACAATGATTTGCTACTGGGATGTGTGTCTTCACTTTTTACTTCTTTTGGCATATATAAGAAACATTGCCAACACTGGGATCAATGATTTAGTCCCACTTCAGTTGCCCCGTCTATTTCTGTTGTGGCGCAATAGAAACAGGGTTTGAGATTTAGTTCTACCTGAAAAAAACTTGAAACACAGTTATGTTTGTTTGTATGGAGGAATTCAGCTGTGAATTGCCTCTGGATCTCAAATGGATACAGAGGGACTTGCAAGTGTGTGTAAAATAATGTTTCCTAGAGTAGATGTTTTTTTGTCTTGTTTTATTGGGATTCAAGAGTTACAACAAAAGAAAGAAAAGGGTAACATGTACAGTACAATACATGCTCTTATGTATATACAGCTGTAACAAAACAGCTAGTCACATTCCTATCAAGCGCTTTATGTCAAAAACACATGAGTTTCTCTAAATTAGTTTCCGCTGAATGTTACTGATTCGTTAAAAAAGATATATTTTGAGTTTGATAAAATTTGATAGCATTCATAACATCACATGCATTATGGGATGTATTCAATTATTTGGATTTTTGAGGTTTTATTCATGAAATCTTGTGAATTGCAACTTACTAAATATAGTGTGTTATTTTTAATGTACAACACAACAAATAAGGGCTTTGATGTTATACCTTTTGCATAAAGCACAGTATGAAAAAAAAGAGAAGGTTTAGTCTGTGTATGTCAGCACTCTCTCTATTCAGCCGACACAATATTCAGTTTAACGAGGAGGTCTGATGTAATATTTCATGGCTTATTTCATAACAACAGACAAAGAGAATGCATCATTAATCTCAATGTACTGAGGCACCCATGCCTTCAGTACAATGTTACATAACTTTCTAGCACGGTGTGTGAGGGTACATGCTTGTATGTATGAATGTATAAATGTACTCCGTGTGTGTGTGTGTGGGTACATGTTTATGCATAGGTAAAAGCTGGAGTGTTTGTCCACAAACCGTGTGAATGGTTTCTTAAAGCAAGTGTGCAGTCAAGCATTCATGCATGTGTATGTGTCTGTCCTCATGCAGGTAGGCAGATGTGAAGGATGACTTCTTGCTCAGAGATCTGTGGGTCGGAGTATGGTGAGCAAGCTCATGCCAGCAGCAGGAACTGTCAGCAGTATGGCGTCCGGTCCTACCTACACCAGGTACAATGCAGACACACGCACACACACACATATACAGTATATACCCATACAAAAGAGAGAGAGAGAAGTGTGGGGTATTAGAACCATTATCAACAATTCTCTTTTATCACAAGAGCTTTATCTTCAAAGTCGTAATCATATGACTGTTTCTGTTTGAAACTTGGGCTTTTAGATCTTGATCTCTTGTGGGTTTCAGTTTCCATATTTGTAACGTAAAAAAAAAAATCTCTATGATCTCTTATCCAGTTTTATGAGGAGTGCACAGCTTCTATCTGGGAACGTGATGAAGATTTTCAGATTCAGAGATCGCCTAGCCGGTGGAGCTCTTTACTCTGGAAGGTGAGGTTCACCTTCAATTTTGCTCAAACACAACCAAATCTCACCTGCTGTTTTTTGGATCATCATATTTTAGTTGTAAATACTGCAAGCAAGGATCGGTGATTACAACAAGACTTTTTCTTTACAGAACATTAACAGCCTCTCTTTCATCCTGCAACTTGATTATTCCCGCCAGGTCTGTCTCGTGTTCGGCACCCTGATCTTGTTAGCAGGCCTCATTGTTGTTTTGGTGGGTTATGCCACTCCAACCAGGATTGAAGCATTTGGCGAGGATGATCTCCTTTTCGTTGACAGGTACAGTAGAGTATATTAATGGGAAGGAGGTACTTTAATCTTTAATACACTTGCACAGCTATCCTGTATATTTAACATTAACACTTGCAATCTGTACTGTATTTTCTACCAACACATGATTATAATGGAGAGCACATTGTTTTGGTAGAATATACATGCATTAGATTAGGGGTAGCCAGTGTAAAAAGCTTTGATCAAACATACTATTCTATTGGAACAGCTGGTATTTCAGTCTTAACGACAACAAAATTGCAATAATTTAACAAAATACTTTATAATAGAGCTGATTTGCTGAGAAATGTTGTTATATGAATCATGTACCAATAAAGTACTTACTAGTTCCCACTTGTAATTAAATGTAGGCACTCTGAAAGCAAATAAGAACATGGGTTGCAAGGGTTTGGATATGCCACCAAAACTGCAGATGTGCAGTGAGGTAAAGGGCTTTAATATATAAAAACATACAACATTAATAAAGATTTTAAATATTTAGCTTATGTTCCCAAAATCACAACAGATGTACTCATCATTGATGGGGTACAGCAAAATAGTTTTGGGATAGGAAGCTCAAATCTAAACAATAAGGAGGGACTTGTTAGTCAATTATGGAGTACAGCAACTTACTTATAGGGAACAGGATAACCACTAGCCCACTGCATATGCAAATTATACAACCAGATTATGTTCTTGGGTTTGACTGCAGTGCATTACGTTATAGGTTCTGCAGAAAGTATCAGTTTTGATAGCACCATTGTTTCCAAACTTCAGTTTTATATCCCAGTACTGTACGCCATAGGTACCCATTATATCCAAAAATACTCTTTCTTACTCCCTTGTTCCCCATAATAGTGTTTTTTCTTTCACTGAACCTACATATAAGTACCAGTCAGGAACCAATAATATCTCATTGGTGCATGAATCATGCAGGATTATACTGTAAATCACGGGCTTTATAATGAAGTGTACCATTTTTTTAAAAACAAACTGTCATTTTCTTCAACAGCCACGCCGTCAGTTTCAACCGTGTACTGGATATCTGTAAGCTAACTGGTGCTGTGCTGTTCTGTGTGGGAGGCACTTCCATGGCTGTGGGTCTCCTGCTGTCTGCCTTTGCCAAAAGCTATTCCAAAGAAGAACTGTATCTGCAGCAGAAGTTTAAGGAGAGGTTGGCAGATCTGCACGCAACAGTTGGTAAGATTTCACTCTGTACTTATTAGCACACATTATTAACATTAAATATTAAACATTAAGTAGTGCAAGTTGTGTAGTGCTTACTGATATACTATGCCCATACTGTTGTGTATGAATATCCCACCTAGCAGAACTGCTTTTGTCATAGGTACCCCCATAATGAGAGCGCCGACCCCCGGGGAAGGAAAGGTGCCAGTCACACTTTCTAAAGTCCAGAACATCCAGCCAATGACCACAAAGTCAGAGACCTGACAGAAGTCCAGATGAAGGCATATAGTGAAGAAGTGTGTATGATGGTTGATTGGTGTGCAGAATATGTGTGAGCGCGGACATGCGTATGTCTCTCAATCTGTGTGTGCATTTTTTTCTTTTGAAAGGTCAAATTACATGACAGATAGTATTGGTTCCTCATCTATATTTGCCTAATAAAGCTTTTTTTAAGGTTATCTAGGTGCAGAGTTACTATAGCTGAGCAAATGTCATCAGTCAGATGTATCAAATTCATAGTAATGAAAAAAGCACACGCAGGTCTGGAGCTCTACCCAGAAAATAAAACCACCGAAACAAATCAATAGAACTAGAAGAGTATTTGTCTGTCAAGAGGATTCAAATTTTGTAAATAAGGATGGTGTCGAGCAACAGATGCAATGTTGTTTGAAGTTATTGGTGATTGGCCCCCATTCTCTGAAATGATCAAAAGCACTGATAACAACAACCTTTATCTCTTCCTAGTGTCTAAAAGTAGATCAGAGGATGAGCGTTCCTCTGTGCAGAATACTTTGTGTGTACTGTGTGTACATGTACGTATATGTAGCGTAACTTCATTACAGCCCTCAAAGTGAGCGCTGTCAATCAAAAACTGCACAATATAAATACATCTGCTTTAGTTCATGAATACTTAGGCACTGTTTACATGTAACGCCAAGCCAAGAGAAGCCACTTCGTTAGAAGTTCACACATCATCAGAAAAGATTAGAGATAATCACTGAATAGCTCAGACCTCGAGGGTAGATTTCACACTGACATTTTCTTCTGCCTTATTAGGCATCTGACCTTGTCTTCTTCAGTGAATCTTCAGACAGGATCGATAGATGAGACAGGACAGAAAAAAATTTGAATCAAACAGGTTACTTTCTAGATAATGCAAATAAAGCATTCCACCACCACCTTTCTATCTTTTTCCTACAAAACATAATTGCCCATTCTCTTCCTTTCTTTGTCTCTATCTCCCCCTGTGACAAATGCAAGCGTGTAGACACACACCTGCCTATCCATTCAAGCATGCACATTTTTGAATCAAATCGTTGTCAGCTAGTAGTCATGAGTTGGTAAAATAAAGTGCAGCTGCTACGTGTTAAAATGAAGATGGAGTAAATATATAAGCACCCTTATTACCAAAGCTTTATATATAGCTTTGGCAATAAGGGTGCTTATATATAATGTTGTTGTTGCTATACATTCATGCCAATAAAGCTAATTTTAGAGTGAGAGAGTAAGGGTGCTTCAAAAGAGACACGCAACGTGAGAGATGTGTTACATAAAGGGGGGTGAAGAGACCACATTCAGCTCTCTCATGAGATAACCTCAGCTACATCATGTTTGACAGCGCTCATTGTTTTCAGCCTGTCTGGATCCTTTAGATGCTTTAGATATTATAACTGCCTTCCTGTGCTCACGAGCAAAACTTGAAACTACATAGGCTACGTTAAAGTAAGCTGAACGGTATACAACATGTAATACTGTAGAAATCGTGAAATGTTGCATCATCAAAGCTTTTCTTTTGACTGGTTGAATATTCACATGCATACAATATGTGTAAACAGGCTTTACATGAAGGGTTTTTATTTTATTTTATTTATTCTTATAAACCTAGCATTCACACACTCTGTAACTAACTTACAATCACAACAAGCTGATATTGGTCATGTTTTGCTGCTTTTTAAAAAAAGTGTATTAACATTTGTTTGTTGTTGCTTTTATTTTGATTGTTGATCTGTATACAGCAAAAATGCAGTTTATTTTTTTTTATTTACTGTACTTGGTTGGAACAATGTTGGAACAAGTCGCAGGCCAAGCACCATCAAGCTACATGCCTCCTACTGTGCATCAATGCTGCAGGTCATTCTAAACAATTTCTCCTCTTCAATTCCACGCAGCAACAATACCAGATACTTACTGTATAAATTTAAATAATTCTAATGCTGGCTACATAATGTTCATGTAAGTTGACCTTTTAATATTATTCCAAAACATGCACTTTTCTGTCTTTCTACTTTTACTTTGAAAAAAATCTTATGTCTTTTTAACACATTTGGACTCAGATACAACATAAACACCTAGCTGTAACTATGAGGAACAATATATTAGTAATTAAGACATTTTCAACGAACTTACCCAAACACTATTAAGCTGCAAACCTACTGTACAAGAAGGAAAACCACACGGTTAAAAGCTGTTATAAACAGGCTGTTATAAACAAACCCTCCAGAATGATCAGAGTGTATGATCAATAAATGTGCTGACTTGTAGTTCTATGCCGTGAATTGTGAGTTTATTTTTAATCAATATATTTACCCTTGAGTTCTGCATTTCAATCCCGAAATCCAGAACGGATACTTTTCTGCTCTTCATCTGACCATCACAAAAATGGTCTCCCAGTTTATGTGTCTCCTAATGTAACAATGGATTCTCCTAGTACATAAAAAAAGTACACTGTACTTATTGGAGGTTGGATTGAATAAAGAACAAATATATATCAATGTCAATATACATTATGTCTATTTTTCAAAGAACACAATAAAAATTGAAATATCCACATATTATATTGTATTCATCCTTTTACTCTCCCCATCACCACTTCAGTTGTATACACTGTACATCATACTGTTCATTGTCAGTTTACCTTCATGATTGATAATATATTTTACTTGACAATACTAAGAACAAAAATATGTCGTACACGGGCTGAAACCCAAATTAGTGTTTTTACAGTTAATATGTCTTAGTTATATCTATTATTTCATGCTTTTTTAACCTCGTTTCCATTGTAAAATCACTGCCTTGCAGTTTTGAATTGTGCAATAATCAACATGTTTTATCATCTATAACATTTTTAAGTACCTGAGATATAGGATTAGTTCAATATAGTGTACATACTTAAGCAACTTTTGCTTTGTGTATGCCTTCACTTCAGGGAGAGAAACAGAAAAAAGTATAAGTAATAAATTTGTAAAGTATTAGTAAAGTAATTATGGGATTTGTTTTTTATTAATAAAAGACTCTAAACTGTTAATGTTGTTCCAACATACAAAGCCTTCATTGTGTAGAAGCTCTTACAGTAATCAATTCAGGAGAGTCATTTAGGTAGGGGGAGCGCAGAAGGGTGCCGATGCTATTCAGGGCCTTATTAACACACCCACATACACACAAAGTCACACAAAGACACACACACACACACTCTATAAAAGGGGCCAGAGGAGGAGATAAGACAGAATGGATGGTAACTCCAGAAATAGTACCTTGTAGATCATCACCTCGACCAGTCAGGCTGTATGACTCACACACAAACTGCCTTTCTCTGTGTGTCTCTCTCTCTCTTTGCTCTCTCCTTCTACCTCACTCGCTCTCTCACCCATGTTCTCCCATGTGGGATGGTTGACTCAGAAACACATTGACTACATGAATCCCAATTTGAACAGCTGCAGGGACAAGAGGGCGATGAGGCCATCATAGACACTGAATTAGATCACAGTTCACACTACAGGTTCCTGCCTGTGGGAGGCTGTTTATAGCAGCTTTATGCAACCTTGTTTCATTGGAAAACAGAGAGGCAAATCATCACATTTCAAATTTGTCTCACCTGTCTATTGATTAAAGCTGTTCAAGACTCAAGACTTGCTAACCTTTACATCTTGGTTTCTTAAATTAGATATAGGTCTAAATAATTTATGTTAATACACATTATTATTATCTTAATTGGAACATTATGTAGAGCCAAATTTTATTGAGAATATACCTGATGAAAAATATTCCCAGTACATTTACTTTATGTTGTGTACTGGCCTGAAATTGTGTGGTTTTGCAAAACTGGTTAAAGACTTTTTACTGTAAGCACTCAAGATTTATGCACACAAGCTGACTCAACAAATTACTGCTATGCATATGAAGACTGGCTTTAAATAATAATGTTACTTAATATGTTGTCATACTGGACCCTTTGATTACATTGGGTGAAGACTGCATCCTTCCTTTCCTTAATGATAATGATGTGTTGCTAAAGGCTAACTCCTTTTAACAACTATATTGTACTTGTTGATGTTAGCTAAAAGGATATAAGGATATAAAAAGGATAGATAGATAGAAAATAACCTATAATGAGAATATAAAACAAAACATGTTGTGATGTAAGATGTGTTTTTTTGTGCAGTTTGGCGCCCCTACTGTTTCTGAGTTTGGTGTAGTTCACCCCTGTCAAAAATCGCTTAACACATGCATTTGTTATGATTATATTACTTCAAGTCGGAAACTTTGCTAATATTGTCAATAACAAGTGTGCACACCACACAAGCAGCCTGTTCTCATTCTCAGGCGTCATAAATACCCGTCATATTTCAAGCAAAACGTCAATTCTGCATGTACAGGAGATGCTCCTAGTTGCATGTGTATGACACGCATCCAGGCACGTCTGTATGTGACGGCCTGGGGTGACCAGAAATGCTAGTAGTACTTCCGGTCGCTAACTAGCTATCTAGCTAGCGAAGTTTGTGTTTAAGGCGTTGACAGTCCCCCGAGGCAACTTAACCGTCACAGAAGTGTGTGCCTAAACCTAAGTCAGTAAATATATGCATGTCGACCGGCTAACCCTACAGCTGTGCACATAGCAGGCGGCGTTTGTATTGCAACACAATAGCAAACTGCAGCGTATCATACTGTAGCAGACCTAAATATTAGTCATGCAATTTAATAAATTTATGAGAATTGATACCCAATTATGAATTAATATTCATAAAATCAAAATTTTCCTCGTTTCAGGGCACCACCGGAGTTGTTATAATCCTAGAGTCTCAGGACCTCTAGGTAGTTTTAATAATTATACAATTATTACTAGTGATCAGTTAGTTAATAATCGCTCAATTATCTTAAATCAGTCAGTCAGTCTCATATCTAAAGGGTCAATTCTCTTGGCAGGAACTAGAAATAGGCAACACACACAGCTCTTGGTTATATTACAGTGAATTTATTCTTTAACTAAGGTGATAAAAAGATGGTTGGATACAGGGAACATAAACATTTGCTGAACAATGAGCCTGGAGGTCCGATTGTGGGAAGCATTTGACTCATACGGCATAGAAGAGCTAATGAAAGTAAACTAATGCTATAATTTTAGGAGTTAAAATGGACATCTGATCACAGAACGTGTGTTAAGTCTTACTGCTTGTCGACAGCATGCTTTTGGCCTGTTGCACGGGTCCCACGCTAGCTGCCTGGCTGATCCTGGCTTTTTGCTAGGGATTCTCCGGGGTTCTCCGTGTCTGATTGAAAACGCCTCCTCCGCCTGGCAATTCGGCTGTTTTCAGGTTTCCTTCGTTGTAGCTGGCGAGACCACGTGGCTTGGTCTGACCTCGGTGAAGTTGGCTCGACGAAGAAGGCTTAAAATGGAACTTGGTCGTTCCTGAATTAGTCCAGTGTAACTTAACGGACTGATAACTTTAACAAACAAAAGAAATAAAGAAAATAAAAACACTTCACGTGTGTAACTTCAAGCGAAACAAAAGGGCCTGTTTCGCTGGCCGACTGAGGGCGTTGCCTGGTGTGGCATGTCGCTCTTTTGTTGCCTGGGGCGTGGTTCCCCAGGGGGTGTCTCAGATTTCCCAAGGGACTGCCTTTCTAAACTTAATGTCTAAAAAGAAATCTATTTGCGCGTATTATAATCAAATATTTTCCACAATCGAACCTCAATGGTTGAACGGTTGTACTGTTCTAGGCATTTGGTAACAGGAAACAATTGTCACATTATTGGTCAGGATATTTATACATTTAACGGCATTTCCAACGAGGGCATGTAATACTTATTTCGTCCACTTGGGGGAGCTCAGGTTACATGAGTACAGTAAAACATTCCTTTGTCCTCATTTCTAAAGGAATTTTGTAGGAAAGTATTATGAACAAGCGTTGATTACATTAGATGAAGGAGTGTCTTGCTGAAAATGAAAACACTGCAAACGCAACTTTCTTTTCAGCACTAATATCAACAACAGATAGCAACAACATGTTAACTGCTCAAATAGAGGCAAACGTAATCAAGTAACTAAAGATTTAATTAAACTTAATTAAATGCTTTGAGTCTTTGGAGACTGCAGTCCTTTGTCATCCAAAGTTTGGCTGTCCTGGGTTCTGTCACACCTAGGTGAGACAAGGAGTATCCCTTTGATGGGATAATAAACAAAGAGCAAAGTCAGTTGCCACGGAAACATGTGTGTGTGTGTGTGTGTGGGGGGGGGGGGGGGCAGTTTTGATAGGCTGTTCAGGGAAATGCCAATGGCTGGTTCGTGTCTCTTTGTCAGTTTAACAGTCAGGCCCCGCGTTATCAGCTTCGGAATCAAAAAGGTTTATTCAATATAAAATGCACAAATCCACACCGTTGTTCACTACAATACACATGCCAAATCGACATTTTGCGTAAAATAGTGTGTATATATGAGATGAGAACGGGTTGACACAAGACATAGCAATGTTACTTACCAGTCCAACAGAAAGAATGCCAGCTCAGAGTCTGTCTTCCTTAGTCAAGGTCCTCTTTGGTCTCTTCGCCTCTGCCATTAGCTAATGTTATGTCCATAGAGGCTGCTGAGCCCAGTTATGTTGCCTGCTTGACACCAGCACTGCCCTCCCTACCACCTGTTATTTCACGATAGAAAAGTTACATACCGTTGCTTAAAACTTGAGTGGCAAGTTAGTCAACAAAGCTAGAACCGACGCAAGAGCACTTACAGTAACGACACCAATGTCTGAGTGTGTTATTAAATAAAACATATTTTTGCCTTGCTCATTCTTTCATTAAGTTTGCTTAGCTTAAGTTTGATATCAACTCAAGATTTATAGCTAGCGGCTAAATCTGTCTGTTAAACCTCTGTCTGATTTTATTGAGTTGACAACTTTGCTAACACAGTTAAACATCATGAAAGTGCAATAGGTGCAAAGGAGCAAGCCAGCTAATAAGATGCAAAGGAGGAAATTATTTGGTTGGTTAGCCCGCTACTATTACATAATCGCTACTATTATGTAATCGCCGACGTAATCTGTACTCTGCGCATGCGTTAGCGTCTGTAGCTACCTGTCAAGCTCCGTCTTAAACTTGACTCTTATCCAATTTTAATCCACACTTTTTCTTTACTTTTTTTATATCCTTTTTATTTAAGTTTTTAATTTAGGTTTTACGTGGGTTAAGGATTTTAGTCATCCGACATGGATTTTAAGCTAGATGACAGTAAAAACGCTATCAACACTACTGATCACAACAAAGCTCCGG